ACAGTCCTGCTAGGTGTGCAGTGTGTACTGTACATGCACGCGGGCTGCCAAATCCCGAGGGTGCCGATACCGGTCAATGTCAAATGCCTCTTTTGTCACATCACTAGTATATCTCAAAAGACGCGACAGGGTTCTTGTAAATTTTAAACGTTTCTCACCATAGCCGTAAAAATCTAAATACGTTAAACTTAATAGTCATTTGTTTTCTAACTAATTCGTTTTAGAACCAGGTGTCCTCAGAAATTTCCAAAATTTACAACTTTTCGGTCACTCTCGTCGAACAGGAAAAATTTCTGTCTAATTTTTCGAAGAAATCACTCCCATTGTACTCGGCTAGAGATTGGTTCGGTTAGGCTTTTGTTTAAGTAAAATTTCGGCTCTTTTATCAGGGTTTTGTTTACGTCCCCAATTCTCTAATCGCTTAATTATTTAACTACTTTTTAAGTAGAAATAAGTCGAAACCAGTTACTTTGTACTCGAATATTTGTAGTCTCGGGAAAATGTGGAAAGACAAATTTTTACGACAAACGGATATGTAAATCGTAAATTTAAGGAAAATAAATTCTAAAGCTTTTTCTGTACCTCGTGCACCTCTCTTATTCATTAAATTTAGTTGTAAATGATGCTACCAAAGTAACGGTTAATTTTTTTAACATTATACGAGAATTGTACACGTTTTTTTCTACATCCCCTTAAAGATGGGACGTACGAATTCGTAATATTACTGGTTTAACATTGAAATCCGCGAGTAATATAAAATCGGAGAGCGGAATAAATATATCAAATATTTTAACGGATTTTTTAAAACTCCCATCAACTATACAGAAAACTATCATAAAAACATACAGGAATCGGATGCGTTATACGTACAGCATCCACCCGAGGTCGTGAAAGCATGCAACGTAATAAATGGGCGATCTCTGAGAAGAAAGCCTCCTGGAAGGCTTTCGACAAAAAAGTAACCTTATTTACATGCTAGATACTTAAAGAAATTCCGGAAAACCCACTTGTTCGAGCACGAATCCATTATCAATGAGTATTGTTAAGTGGTTTTATTATTTGCACACTGGCAAGTGATTCTTGTATGACACTCAGAGCAAACCCTTATCTAAATTCTAATGTTCAGATTGAATTCATTATCAGATTACTAACTGTCTGTGTCTTTCTTCTCAGAAAACAGGGGTTAAACAACAATAAGTAATAAATATTTGCAATTATTTATTCATATAATACTGTAAGCAGTTAATGTAAAAAAAAATCTAATTATACAAGCAACTTCAATTCGTAAAAGTTTTTTTTATACGCATAAACAAACGGTGTTTAATATAGCTTATCACTTATAATTTATCACAATAACTGATAAAATAATTACATTTTAACTGAAACTATTTCGTTGTACTTATGACATTACACGAATGTCCTATCATATTCTTTTGTTGTGATGTCATTGTTTTAAGTATTTTAATGATACATAAAGAGTGTCGACAAAAAATTATTTTACAGACGTGATACTTTATCACAGAAAGAGATGAAGCTGCAGAAGTACCTCTTGCGAAACACCTGCAATGGCAATTTATTGTAAGTAATTATCATTTTTAATATGAATTACTTATCACTCTACATAGTAAAATACTTCTGTAAAATATATTTAACAATAAAATTGAAGCATTTGGGCGATCTTGTAAGGGGGAGTAAATATTCTAAGGGAAATTAGCCATTATTTAGGTGTAACATACGTAAATACAGGCTAATTTTTTTACATGTGTGACACCTAAATGGCCATGGTTTCGTGCCCAGTTCGTTGTTCGAGGACTTTATATCTTAATAACATGGTGGAATTAACCGTATACGATAGAAAACACAATATGAATGAGCATATTATCACCTTTTCGTAGTTAAGGGGTCAGACTAACGCTCTGAGACACAAGATCGAATACAAGCGTCACTTTAGAACATTATGTATAACGTCTAAAGATATATAAAACTATGTTTTAAGTATAACCAAGATTTTATTTAACATTATTTAAATATTTTTATCGTTTCAGAAATTTTTTTCTGCTTTTACTCTTATACGTTCCTTCTGTGCTTACGTGTCCGAGGAATAATAATAATAATAATAATAGGCCAAGAGAATACGAAGGGTAAGATGTAAAGAATGTAAAATAATTTTACAGTAACTGAAATTATTCGAATAAACTTTCTGATAATTTTAATTTTAATATTTTTAGGAGAATTTTTATTGCATCTCCTAAAAAATTATCTTTAGATAGAAACGAAAGGATATCCGTAATAGCCTATAATGTTCCTGACAATGAAGTAATGGACGTTACAATAAAAGATTTTCCTGGAATGACAAAAATATTTTCATCTAAGAGAGTTTCTTTAAAAAATGGTGATTATTTTATCAAAATATGTAGCGATTTATATGTATTTATCTTTGAAAATTTTATGCTTTTCACAAGATGTAATATGTTGAGAGCTTGTGTGACATTCTGTGAAGTGTTTCGAGCTGATATATATTCAACCTTATGTATTATCTTAATAATAAACATAAATAAAGAACAATATGCAAGACCCAATATCTCTACTAGATCCGTCCAAACTCCGGATAGGCCCCAAATGTAAGAGAATGGGCCACATCACTAGGGTTACATTTACACAGAAGCCAAACAATCTATATTTTAAACCTTATTTTTGGAAAGACGAAAAGGTCTGTTACGTGTTAGTGTCACAAGTCTAAATAAAGCAATGATTATATCTAAGTATCTTCTGTTAAATATGGTAGTATGTTTTTCAAGTGTAACAATAAGTAAATGAAATTTTCACCTTACAGGAGTTCCAGTTTTTATGGACTTTAATTTACCTTCTAATGAAATTTTGAAGTATATGGAAACTAATATATTTGGTATATTATACTTGAATGTTTATGTGGAAGCTAAAATAGGAAACAAGTTTGAGAGCATTATGAAAGTACCTGTTGCCTATAGTAAAGGATATGTTTTTCTTCAAACGGACAAACCAATTTATAACCCACAACAAACAGGTAATTCTTAAATGATTAAATAAAGTTATAATCAATGCTGTAAATTTATTTTATTAAATACCAGATTTGAATTTAATTAATTAATTTTATAGTACAAATTCGAATTATTGCACTAAACGAGAAGCTGTTACCTGAAAACAATGAAGTTCGAGTGCAAATAAAGGTAATATTCAAAAATTAATATAATTAAAAAAACAGAAGCTTAGAGAATTAAATAAAATACAAGAAATTATACCTAATGGATGAAAGAAGGCAACGCAACACGTGGCAACGAGGACTTTCTATAGGAAAGTAGTCCTTATTTTGGTGTTAGACAGGTGAAAAACACTGACAAACTCTACTTCACTAGTTTTGGTGGAGGTACAAACTTCACACCTAGGTGTGAAGTTTGTACTTCCACCACAACTAGTGAAGTAGAGTTAGTAGAGTGAAGTTGAGAACTAGGTGTTGAAGCTGTTCTATCCACTTGATTAATGGTGAGTAAATCATACTAGAAAGAAAATAATCCCATCCTCATTTGAATAAATAGAACATGGGTTTAGTTTGTACTTCCACCACAACTAGTGAAGTAGAGTTAGTAGAGTGAAGTTGAGAACTAGGTGTTGAAGCTGTTCTATCCACTTGATTAATGGTGAGTAAATCATACTAGAAAGAAAATAATCCCATCCTCATTTGAATAAATAGAACATGGGTTTAGTTTGTACTTCCACCACAACTAGTGAAGTAGAGTTAGTAGAGTGAAGTTGAGAACTAGGTGTTGAAGCTGTTCTATCCACTTGATTAATGGTGAGTAAATCATACTAGAAAGAAAATAATCCCATCCTCATTTGAATAAATAGAACATGGGTTTAGTTAAGGATTTAGAAAATAATCACTTTATAAATATAAGTGAAATATACTTACTGAAGGAAGACAGTGCAACATTGATAAAATATACACGTAACTGAAAATTAGTTGTTGTTTTCTTATAAGGATATTGTATTATATGTAACTCAATTTGTTTTAATGTAATTCTCTTTGATTTCAGAATCCTCAAAATATTATTGTTCAAGAAACCCTTTTTAGAGAGCCATGGAAACAATCCTCTGGTCAGTTTCCTAAAATGAATTTTACCTTTCCACCATTCTCCATGTTAGGACAATGGAGAATAGAAGCCTCGTATGGAATTAGAGTAACTATTATTTATATAAGAATGTGTAATAACCTGTATATAATTGTATTTAATTGGATGAAACTTAGTTTCAGAGACAAACGTCTGTGTCATTTCACGTTGAAGAATACAGTAAGAAAAATTAATACTTAGTTTATACAAAATGATCCAAAAGTCAGTTTACCGTATACAAATACTTCATTATTTATTAGCCCATCAGTGGCTAGGTTGATAAAACTACTCATCACTCAGTTGATCGGTGTTTAGAGACTCATTAACTTGTTATATTGTGCAGTTTTCCAGGTTTATTCACGTTTTCCACGGCAAAATAGGTGTTAGTTTTGATTAGAAACTACTTTCAAAGCCATTGCCTTGCTAGATCGCACAGCTGTTGTGTTAGTTCAATGCAATCGTTACAAATTTACAAAATTCTACTAACTCCGTTTTAAATTTAATTTATGACTTACATTAAAAGCATTCTGTAAAGAACGGTTAACCGAGTTTTGGATCAAAGTTTTCAGTTTAATAAATATAAATTATATGAAATGTTTTACAATTTTAGCATTACCAACATTTGCTGTGAAGCTTCGAGTGCCAAGCGCGATATTGTCTAAAGATGAAAAAATTGATATTACTGTACAGGCTGAGTAAGTGTGACAAAGTCAATAACGTGTAAAAATATAAATTATTTTAAATTTTAAAATGTATTTTTGCTGTTTTTTGAGTCTCCTAGCATGAATGTGTGCTTCGTGTTTAGCTGGGTCAATAAATAACATGCCAGGACATTAAACCCAATTGTTTATTGCTCTGCCCTTATGTAATATTACAAAATGAAATACAATCGACACTATAACACTGTTGATTTTTCTGTTTTATATGAATTCCATCTTGTACGAGTCACTTAAATTTTACAAATACGTGTGCCGGGCTGTGAACGGCTCACGTATTTGTAAAATCTAAGTGACTCGTACAACATGGAATTCATATAAAACGGAATA